TGACGTTTGCGGTATTTTGCAGAGATAATTAATTTTGATGTTCAGTCTGAGATTTGTTTATGAACACTTAAAAGAATCTTATGTGCTTTCTAAGCGGAATATTTCTCAGTTCCGTTGGTCTATTTTTATATGAATCACACATCGAAATGTCAAAATCATTTATTTAGCCGAGAAATCTAAAGAAAGGCTACAATCTCCCTCACTCCTCTTTTTCCACTTACTATCCGGAATATTCGGCAATTTCCGAGTATGCGGGTTAGTTTAACTTTTACTGTTAAAGGATGACTGATTTCAGAAATGGCCTCTTTTTTACTTAAATTACTTTGCTTGGAATATATGTTAAGGGAAAACTGCTATGTAATGAAAATTTAGAAAATGTTCAGAATTTTGATTCAAGTTAAATTATTTAAATATTAATACGAGTGGAAAAATAAATTGTATTTATTATTAGGTGCCAAATGAATACAATTACTAATATGGCTTATTATTATTTATTTTCTATATTTTGAACTGAAATTTCATCATTAAATCTTGTAATATAGTTTAGTTCTGTATAGTTTTTTTTTCCCTCTCATTGTAAACTAATTCTGTAAATTGAACTGTCATTTAAAATTTAAAAAAAAATTAATTGTTTTCCATGGTTGAGGTAATGCCCATTCTGGTAATAAATATTGCATTGTTCATATTTTAAATTACAAGTCTAATTTTTCTTTTAAGGTTATACAGTTGTGTATAATGTAATTAGACAAGTGCTTATTTTTTTAACTAAAATGTGGCTACGAACCCTGTGAGAAAGTGGTCTTCATGTTTTTTAAATATCCGGCTGAGCTGTAATTAACATCATTTATTAATTGGCACAACTTAACATATGCCTTAACTACTCTTTGTAATTGCGGAAATGGTTTTCCGAATTCCAGAGATGACCAGCCATTGGGGAGTCATGCAATTCTTCTAAAATATTTAACCGTAGATTCGCTGGGATCACTGGCCAATATTCCTAACTTTCCTTTATTAATTTTGTATAGAATAAGAGTTTGTCAATTATTTCATAATGCTTCACCCTATTGCTAATAGCTGTTAAATCTGTATGTTCAAAATTTTGGGGAGTCTTCAAGATATGCGTAAATGTCAGTATCCTTTCTTAATTCTTCAACTATGGATACATGGGACTCAATAACTTTTGAAGTGAGCATAGCACACTTAACTGTATTCCCCCTCCTCATCGATTTTGATTCTTGAAAGGGCATCGGCAACTAAATTTTCTTTTCCAGGCATGTGTTTTATAATTAAATTCTTATAGTTTTAATGTCCACCGTATCAGGCGAGGTGATAAATTTTTCCCCAAATACAAGCGACCGACTGCCACATGGTCCGAGTATACTGTTATTGAAGAACTTTTGAAGTAGATGGGAAATTTCTGAATCGCTAATAAAACAGCGAGCGTTTCTCACTCTCTTGCCGAATAGTTCTTTTGCATAGAATTCAGAGATTTTTAAAAGGAAGCTATCGGCTGCCCTTTTTGGGAAAGCACAGCACCAACTGTGTAATCGAATGCATTCGCAGCAATCTCTTGATCTTGTTCCCCTTCTGGGAAATTGAGGACTGGGGCATTAATTAGGGCATATTTTAGTTGTTCAAAAGTCGTCTTTGCCTCGGCTGTCCAACAAAATCTAGTTTTCATTCTTTTGAGCACTAAAAGAGGCTCAACAATTTTGGCGAAGTCTTTTTGAACATTCTGTAATAGGAACATAAGCCCAAAAATGAAGATAATTTCTTAGCCATGTTTGGGGGAGGGTAACTTTTAATGGCTAATATTTTGGATTTATCAGTCTCGATGCCCTTATTCAAAATCTTGTACTCAAGGTACCGCAACTCCTTGGCAGCGAACTTACATTATCTTGCATTTATTTTGAAACCAACCTCATTAAGCAAGTCAAAAACTTCTTCCAGGTGTTTAATATGTTCATCTATCGTTTTGCTGGTGACTATTATATCATCAAGATAAATTATTGTACTTTTACCCGGAACTGGCCTTAAAATGATATCCATGGCCTTTTTGAAAAATAGCCGGCGCTTCTGCTTAAACCAAACGGCCTTCCTTAGGAAGGCATGGATGCCTGACTTTGTAATAAACGCAGTCTTTTCAACATCTTGGGGTTTTACTTCTATTTGAAAATAACCAGACGTTAAGTCTAAGGTTGTCATAAATTTAGTAAAGCAAATTTTTCTGACAATTTCATCAATTATTGGTAGGGGATATGTAAGATACTTCGCTATACTATTAAGTTTGCGATAATCAACTGCAAACCTGTATGCGTCCGGGTGCTCGGGCAGTAGCCCATTTTTCTTTCTGCAGAGGACCACCGGACTTGCGTATGGACTAGTGCTTGGCACAATAACTTTATTAGGTAACATCTTTTCTATGTGATGTTCCAGAATATGTTCTTTGACCCTATCATAGCGATAAGGCTTCGATCTGACTGGAGGGGCGTTACCGTATCAATATCATGTGTCACCACTTGGCAGAAACTGGAAATTTAATTCTTTATTTTATTATCATAAAATAAAGAATTAAATTTTCTTACCAAGCTTTCCATTCTGTCCTTCTCTTCAGGTTTCAGGTGGTTGAGGCTTTTTTCGGGCATAGACCCTTCCTCTTCTTCCACGAGGTCCATTTCCACCTGTAATGTAGAAGTTTGTAAATTAAGATTCACGCGAGCTGCACGTAAAAAATCGACCGTCAATATTACGGATGTTAGCAAATTTTTTTACCACTAAAAAATTAACTTTTAACACCTCATTTTTAATTTGTACATGCAGTGCGGTTTTCCACAAACATTCGCATTGTTTGCCTTGGGCAGTAATTACCTTTTGTCCTGTGGTATTAAATAGTGTATAATGACGAAAATTTTTCTTAAAGAAGTCTTCTGAGAGAAAGGAACACTGAGCCCCGGTGTCCAGGAGGGTAGGGGTTGGTATGTTATTTACAAGAATATGTATCTCCGAAATGGCTAGATTTTGCACCACCACCGAGTTCAAACGAATTTCTGAGCTTTTCGTTCCTATCGGTGATGGAGCCCCCTTCTCAATCATCAGTGTTCGTTTAAATTCTGCTTTTACGTCCCTTCTTTTCTCTGACCTTTATAATTGAAACTCTTAGATTTACCCGAGCTTTTGTTATCGGACTTTCTACCTTTTCCTGTCTGCCGAAATGCATTCTGCAAAACTTGCAGTTTCTTCTCTGCGGACTTCACTGCAAGCTGGGAGAGGTTTTCTAATGTTTGCAAGTTACGAACTTCAAGGAAATCTTGAGCTGATGGTAGTAGACGTTGTGGAATCACTTCGATAAGTTCACTATCGGGCATCTTCCCATATAATAAATTGAAGATGTTAATTTTCTGTAAAATAAACTCCGCCAACTCATCGAAATTGCTTTGATATTTGCTAAACAATTCTGACTAGCTTTGCACTGCCTTTCACAACTGGAAATGCTTAATGCTTTTGATAATGCAGATTTGAAGTTTTCCCAATTGTAGGATTCCGAACCTGTCTCCCCCAACAAGAACTTGCCAATTCCTTTATACCAGCTGAGAGCTTGGCTCTTGAGGTTCATTGTGGCTATGGTAACTTTTTGTAGATGGTTTTACAGGATGCAAAGTGAAATGCAGGTCCAGCTGCTCAAGGGAGATCATTACTGAACCTTTTCTGTCAAACGTTGTTGCTGGTTTTGTTGCATTGTTTCTACAATAAATCCGAATCCTTCCATTAGATTCATTGACGTCTGAGAGACCTGAAAGGTCAGAGGGGTCAACGTAAACCTCCCGCTCTTTAATGACATGGTCCGTTGAAAATTTTTTGGATGCCAAATGTAAGATTCTGTACTGTGTATTTTATAATTCTTCACATTCAACAGTAATTAGATGGTTATCAAGTTACTGTTGAATGTGAAGCAGAGCGCCGGCTATTTATTAAGAACTGATAAGTGAATAATCTCTTGAGTTTGTGGTACAGGAAACAACAAGTAAGAACGGTGAAATAACCTTTTATTATTCCAATAAGGTGTAACAGAACTCTGTCTTGGAGTTGTACAATAAAGCCGACACTTGGGCTTGAACTTAAGAGACTAAGAACTAAACTAATAATCTTAACTAAAAAGATATAGCTGAAGCTATCAAAAGTCTAACAGAGTTGGCCCCTTAAACCTGATTAACTGTGAAGCTATTAAGGGCCTAAAGTATGGCCGAGCATAATAATAGTGTAAGGGAGAGTAGCCTAAAAAGGCAGACACATGCTAGCCAGAATCTCTGGTTCTCTGTGACTAAGACAGTAAAACTTCGCTTTTAAATACCGCTCTTCCTCAATTTGCATTCACATGTGATTCTAAAACTACGTTCTGGACGGAAGTTGTAAATTAAAATTCAGAAATGATAGGAAAGGAAGTTTAACTTAAAATTTAACTGTTAGATAAATTAATATAATCCCTACAATTTCTTAAATTTGACTTGTTAAGTTTAATATTTTTCCTTCACATCAATGTAATGAAGCCTAAATTCAACTCTTGAGTACTCTGTTACTCAAAATCATTTTCATTGCCTTGGAATCTGGCCTGTCTCAAATCTGTCAAAGAAATTCTTGTTGTAATTTTGGAGGGGGAGATGAAAAACAATTCACACTTTCGAGGTAATCTTTAATTTTTTAAATTAGATGGTTATCAATTTGTAGAATGAGGAGCACAACTTTAGATACATATTTAAAGTACAGAAAACTTCTCATACAGCACTTGAGAGACATAATAACTTTGATCCAATTTTTCTTTGAAACATGCATTTAATTGCCGATAATAACTGTGCACAAAATCATCACATCTCGAATGATACATTTTTGAGAACTAATAGGTATTTTTCCACTGGAGCCAGCTGCATAGGTTTTAATTATTCTGTTGACTCTCTGTGATGCTGTGGCTTTCGAGGGAAAGATTAATACCAATTCACTATTCAGTCATGGCCAAGAAGACTGTAGCTTTGTTGATGTATGGTGCACAAATCATGACTGGCTTGATGGTTAGAACCTCATTTTTATTTTTCACAGGAATAATTATTCAGAAATATATTTTTGTCTAAAGTTTGCACTCACTAAGGATGCTAAACATGCCCTACAATTTCCATATATGCAGTTTGCTTTTCAGATAATAAAGAAGATAAAGAGAGAAATGTGGTTTACTTAGGCAGCAACAAAGAAGGAAAAAGCATTGCGTGTTCACTTCAGTCCTATTTATTGCCCAAATGTAATTGTGTTAATCTTGAGCAGTGATTGGGCTAAAGATGTTGCAGTATAGAGAGGTTATGGGGAAAGAATGATATAATATGTGGTAGAGTGGCGCAAAAGGTGTAGAGCTATCTTTGAAGCGGGGATGTATTTATTTAAAATTTATGAAAACGCAGAAAGCTCAAGCAACATGAATATTTAAGAATTTTAGAAAAACATTTTCCACCAGAAAATTTAGTAAATGAAAATTGGTGTATTGAGAATACGGCAAAGCACACTAGTGCTACCTGCCTAAGGGAAGGGATGCCTTCGTGGAAGACTTTCTAAGGAAAACTGACTCGTACACGTTACGCATGGGGAAAACCACGAAAACACATATGCAGCCAGCCCGTTCACGGTATTCGAACCTCGGACTGAACTACCAGTGTTCAGCGATTTTTCCGCTCGGCCGCTGGTGGGTTTAGTAAACGAAAAAAATTTGTAATGCCATTTTAGAGCTTGTAATATTATTACCGCATATACACTGGTTATCAAAAATTAAGGAAAAATCACAAAAATCACGATTCCTGAAAAAGTTACATGTAGAACTTTATGAAACTTACCCACAATATACAACACATAGTGCGGTATCAAATAACATAAAAAGAAATTACTAGACAAATTATGGTAATAGTATAGAAATTATCACATGTATAAAACGAACAAATCGGAAGGTGTCAGTTTTCTATAGGAAAAGTACCTTCAATATGGAATATGATCGCCCCTTTAGAAGGAATACAGCACATACACGGATGCGTGATGCTTTCAATTATGCGGTCTTATCAGTTCCATAGGAAGCGAGAGGCCATTGCTCTTGCAAAAGCAGTTGCAAGCACGGCAAGGGTGTGAGGGGGCGGATTGAGAGCAGTTAGATGTCTCTCTAAAGAATCCCAAATCCCAAACGTGCTCGATATGGATTCAAATCCAGGGAACGAGCTGGCCTCTCCATGCATATAATTGTTTACTGTTGAAGATAATCATTTACGATGCGAGCCCTGTGTGATCTTGCGTTATCGTCCTGTAACAGGAAAGCATCACCTATTGTCCCGGCATGTGGGCGCACATAAGCATCAAGGATGTCATCTCTATAAACTGGAGTATTCACGATTTCTGGTGGAAAGACATGGAGGTCTGTGCGTCCACCCAAAGAGATGCCAACCCAAACACGGGCACTGCCTCTTCTGTATGCGTCTCTTTAACGGATGTTTGATGGATGATAACGGATTCTAGGTTCTCTCCATATCAAATAACGCCTACTATTGCTTTCTAGACTAAAGCTAGACTCATCCGGTAAAGAGAACCGCTCCTCCACTGATCAGGCGTCCAGTAGAAATGTTGTCGTGATTACTGCAAACGATTCCCTTCCTATAGCATGACGTTGAAGCGGCATGCAAATTTCTGGTCGCCTCGCATACAGACCACCTTCCTGAAGCGTTCTACGCACAGTTGATGTTGACACCAACCTTCTGGTGGCTGCAGCAAGGGAGGATCTAAGAAGAGTTGGAGTAGCTTTTCTATTCCTGCGTGCACATAATGTCAAATATTGGTCATTGGCACTCGTTGTAGCAGTTCTCCGTCCTTGGCTGAACCTCCTAGATGCCGAATCTGTGGTTTGAAATCGCCTCCAAAGTCTATTAACCACAGAAGGACTCACATTTAGCCATCTAGCTACTTCTGTTTGACTTTATCCTGCCTCTTGTCTCTGAATGCTTCTCCATCGTAGTTCTGCAGGCAAATGATGCCTGGAGGTCATTGTTACGAATTGGCTATTTCAGATTTTCTGATGTCACTATCACAGTGAAATATGTGGGCTTGCTCTCAAACATGGACTTTCATTCTCCTCGCTGATGACGTATTCTGAGTGCAGCGCCACTAATTTGCATATTGCAGTTTTATTCATCTACTCTTATTTGGCAACATATTCAAATTTTACACGGTTTGGCTTATTTTTGTGATTTTTTCTTAATTTATGATAACCAGTGTATATACATTGTTACCAAACAGTATTACTTAGTGCCAGTATTGGATAAGCATGACATTATAATGCAATCATAAGAAGTGCATTATGGTTTAATGTAAATCCGATTAATTCTTGATAAGCTAGTTTAATTTTTGTAAGGATAGAAGTTAAATTTTTCCTTCAACGTTTGAAAATAAATTTGTCAAATTTGGAAAAAAACTGAGTATTTTCAAAATTAAAGGATCAGGGTGTTTGGAAAAAAAAAAAAAAAAAAAAAAAAAAAAAGCTATGCGAGTTTGAAAATGGATAAACTCTGGTGATGTAGCGTGAAGAATTATGATAAGTGATTTATGATTTTTATATGCTATATTCATAATTTGTGTCTCTTTATTATGTAACTAAAGAGTGAGATGATTGTTTAAATTTTGACTGGAATGATTGGTGACATCTGTGCCAACTTAAGTTCAGCGTGATTTTTTTATTCGAAGTATGTCACTTTTGATGATTGAAGTGCCTTTTTTTCATGAAATCTTACATAATAATGTAGGCCTTCGATATTCAAGTTGGTAACAAATAAGATAATTGCTTTAATAATTTAAATGTGAAAATTTTTGCCATTGATATGGCTTTTCTAACATGAATTCCATTTTTTTTTATGCTCTACTGTCCAGAATTATTTTCCAAGCTTTTGGATTGTAGAGCTTTTATTGTTTGTATATATATATATTATGTCTTATATACAAGATTAAAATATATAACTCAAAATTACTAACTTTAATTTAGCAGTAGTCCTTTTAATTCCTGATGTCCATTAAGTCAATCAGAATGATTTCATTTTGTAATATGTATATATAGGCTTATTATTTCCTTATGTATTTTTTTTTGTGCTATGTTCTGAAAATTTAAAAAATATTTACATAATTTTCCCTTTCTCTTTTGTACATAGTTTTTCTGTATCAGGGCTGGTTTATTGGTAAATTGTATTCTGTTGATTATTTTTATTTTTATTCAGCGTATTCAATTTGTATTTGCATTTCATCCATTTTGCCTTGCATTTATTATTTGAAATTTATCCTGTGCAGATTCTTCATTAAGCTACACAGACATGGCAAGTGTTCTTAGATACTCTTCTGTTATCAGTACTGGATTTAGAAGTATATGTATGTATTTATATGTGTGAACACACACAGATACATATGTTTGTACATATATGCATGCATACATGAACACATACATCCCCTACATGCGTACATTTCTGGCCCTGGTCCAGATAACAGAACAGTACCTATTCTTACGCTTAAGTAACTTTCCAAGCGTGTGATTTCACATTACTTGTATTATTTGCATTCCAGCTCATTGTAGCTGTATCTACTGCTTATATGTGTTAAATTTTTCGAAATCCATGTTTTTTGTTCACCTCCAACATACCTCTTGAAAACTGTGGTCAAGACTCATTCATGTCAGGTGCTCCTGGGACTTTACAAGATAACTAAGTTAATAGTTGCAGGCAAATAATGCCAGCTTGTGCATTTCAAAACTTCATAATATCATGTTTAAAACTGTTTTTAGTGATAATAAAAACAGTTTTAAAAACAGTTACATTTGTGCAGATATTTCAAATTTGTGCAGTTTTTTTTATATATATATAAACTGGTTGATCTGTACATGGAGAGCAAATCCAAGTTACGCTGTGATGCCAATAATTCTGCAATTGTCTTATATTTTTTTAAGTTAAAACAGATTGCTGTACACATGGCCGGGGGAGGGGAGAAGAAAGTCGCGTGTTTTGTATTATTTACTGTTTTATAGTCAAATGTATTATGTTCATTCGATTTCTAATTTAGTAAATTTGTTACTGTTTTATGTTATTTTCAGTATATCATTGTAAATATTTCTTGTTGTTTTATGTAATTTTTCGTATTCTGCCATTTTTTTAAATGGCTGCTGTGTTTCACGTGTTAGTTTGGTGAAAGATTATTTACCAATGATCGGTCACTTTGCGGAAGTGTGTGTATATATATATATATAATTAATATATATTAATTATATGTCTATACATACTTGTGCTCAGAAATTGTGTAATTGAGCAAGTAAGGTATTTATCCTATCTGAGAGTTGATAACCTATTCATCTGAAGCCTATTGTTGTTCTGTCTTGAAATAAAAAAATGAGATGAAGTTGCACTTCATTTTATATCTAACACTAGCACTATGCAGAAAATAATGCTCTAAAGTGCTGGTGTGCTCATAATAATAATTTACACATTTGCTGTACTGTATGTATTGATGACACTGAATTATTAATTTGGGATATAATTTTGTTTTCGGTATAGAGTTTTGATTTATTTGAGATTTTGACTGCAATTTTTTTAATGTAAATATATTTTGCAGATTTCAGAAGCATTAAGCATAAAATTTTTAAGATTTAGAAAAACCTCATAAAAAAATCAAAGGGTTTTTATCATTTTTACTGTCTCCCTAACTGACAACATAGTCGTTAGTTCAATTTTTTGTCATTAACCTTTAACTACCGTGACTTAAATTGTCGCATAACTACTGTGAGCGATCTCTCAGACCACTTTTGCTAAAAATAAAATAAGATATTGTTTTAATTTTCTTATTTGAATAATTGTTATTTAATTTCATATATTTAACTTTTTTATGAAGATATAAAGCAATTTTTATACTTAAATCAGGTTTAAATTTGAAAATATATACTATATAATATTTTCACTTCGTATCTGGATGGAAGAATAAATTTAATTCAACTTTTTTATTTTATCTTAAAATTAGCGATAAGATCTTAAATTATAATTAGAGCTGCATTTTATACTTTTTCTGCATTGTAGACACACTGGTCTTTGCATGCTATACATGGCTTTTTTTCGTTTTTTTTGCTTTGGAACAAATATAGCACGTTCCTTTTTTATCTAATTATCGTCTTCGTCGCAATGTTACCTTCATCATTTATTCTAAAACTCTTTATTGTAAGTGTAAGTTTTTTAGGTAAAAATGATGAAGTACCCTCCATTTACATGAGACTCACCAACTGAATTGCTAATGAAATCTTTTGTTTCATTTCGGAGCCAATTGGATAAGAGTGATAATACGAATGCGTTTATTGCCAGATATCCAAGTTTCTGAAGAATATGCCATAGGCCAAAGTCAGTGCGAGAGCAGTTAAATAGATTGAACGAAGAATAATATTATGACTACGAGTGTGAACAACCTTGTGGGCTCTTGATAACCTTTTAATTTCATTTTTCAATAAAAAAAATCTCTTGTAGAAGGAGAACATGGATTTTCATTTTCATCAGCAGATATTTCTGAATTTGTGTTGTGGTCGCTCGCAATAATTTTATCATGAGAACTTTCATCAGAGGACTATAAATTAGATCAGTTTCTAACTATTTATTCAATTTGGCCTTGGATAATATATATAGAACGTTTCCTGCACACATTTGAAGCCATTTCAAGAATATTTATAAAAAAGCGAAATGTGTAACAATGAAAAGTGTATTGGCCGAAATTTGAATTGTATCTGCTGTGATCGGTCCCACAGACTGCAGTGGGGGGTGATTTTAAAAAATAAAAGAAGAAATAAAAGTAGCCAAATGCAACTTGGTATGTGACCTTGGGCAACTGGTTTAGGAAGGTACTAAGAATGGCAATACCCATTAATTATTCTAATGGGGTGGAAGCATTTAATGGAAAATGTTGCACGGTCTGGGAGACCGCTCACAGCAGTTAAAGGTTAAGATGAAAATTAAAATTTGTGATTTTCCTGATACCTGTCCTTATTATTGCTTAAAATTTTATACAGAAGTTTTAATTAATCAAAATTGTCGGTGACTCAAATATTTTGTAGTGAGAAACAATTTAATTAATATTTTGTAGATAAAATATTTGCTGAATTTTTTATCTAACATTATCTTTTTAAGTAACCCTTTATATTTTATCTATGAACAGGAATTCGGAGTAATATCAAATAGTCGATTAATTTCAACCTGCCAGACTGTTGGTAAGTTATTTGGTTAATTTTAATAAATCAGAAGAATATATTCATTACTTTCTTTTTTTAATTAATTTTGCTTTGCAGTGAAAAACAAGTTTGCGTATGCATATCCCCAAGAATTCCCTTATCGAATGACTCATGTTTTGGAGTGTGAATTTTATCTCCTAGAGATGATGGTTAGTTCTTATTGAGTTATGTCTTTTATTTCTTTAAAAAAATAAGCGAGAGACATTGTTAAAAATTTTTGTTATGCATTTACTCATTTATATTTCAGGATTGTTGTTTAGTGTTATATCATCCATACAGGCCTTTAGTGTATTATGTTCAAGATATTGGACAAGAAGAAGCACTTCTTCCTATGGCATGGTAATTTACATCTGAAATTTCGTATTACTTATAAATTTTGCTCGGAAAACCGTGACTAAATAAATCAAAATATAATAATAGGAATAATAATCAAAATAAAGGGGAAAATGGTATTAATTCTTTAATTAAAGAACACCAAATTTTATATTTATGTACTTTTTACAGAAAATTTTATGATTCTGAGCAGATCAAGTGTATGATTATGGAGGATTAGCGTTCAGTCACCAGTATTATAAACTGAATGCTTTAAACATTATAAACAGTCATAATGGGAATTATATGCAGTACAAGTCCAGTATGCAAAATTAACTAAAATCCAAACCTCCAGACAACCCACAACCTTTCTTTATGTGTGCATGTGTGCTTTATGCATGCACATTTGATATTTTTTTCATAACAAAATGTGGAGAGTCACGATCAAGGTCGGATTTAGCCTTTGAATCACTATGTACAGAAGTAAAAGGTTGCACCACTATGGAACTACAATGTAAGCATTCGTATATATATAAAGTAAGAAATTTGGAACCAATTTTCATAAAGACCAAAAATTGAAATTCTTAAGTAATAATTTTCAAATAGTCCTATAAATGCAATAAAAAATTCAATAGATGTTAAAACCAAAACTTTTCAAACAAGCAATTAAAAAATAAATGAAAAAAAAAAAAAAAAAAAAAAAAAAAAAAACATAATAGAAGAGGAGTTCAATCAACCTCAGTGTCACTTTGTCAGGAGGAGGAACACTGAAATGAATTGAAATATCTCCTCCACCAAAATCCTTGCTCTTCTGTATCCAGAATTAGCCAATGAACTATTTCAATGTATTTTAATTATTATAGTTTTTTTAAAAATTGTTTTGAAGAATAAAAAGACATCTTCCATATACGTGACAAACATTTATTTAAGCTATGAAGACGTTGAACAGCAGAGTTAAAACATGATATTACACAGCGCTTAGCACTTCTCACTTACATGCGATACTCACCATTGACTTTGGCAATGTTTGTTATTATTGTTAAGTGGTTTATTTAGTACATACTTCCTTGGTACATACCTACCTTTATTTAGTACCTACCTACCTACCTAAATAACATGACCTTCCTTGTTCATGCATAAAAGCCTTCTTTGTTTGTTTGTCATATGTAACCAGAGTGCAATTTCCAAAGATTTAAAAGCATTTTATGTGTTATTTATAAATCTACAAAATATTATATTACTTTATAGGAAAGTCATCAATGATAGTCTACGGACAGATGTATGTCTACTTTATCCACCTCATCAAATTGCACTAGGTGATTATTTAAATATTTTTATAATGTTATAAGCTGTAAAAGATATTTTATAATGTGCTATTAAAAATTGCTTCATAACTTCTTATGTATTTTACATAGCATGCCTACATATGGCTTGTGTTATACTTGGAAAGGATTGCAAGCAGTGGTTTGCAGAGCTAAATGTTGACATGGAAAAGGTATTTTGCTTTTCGTTAAATGCTGATGAGTTCAAGTGTATAACTGACATGACTAAAGAGTGTATAACTATTTACATGGCAATATTTGATTTATTTTATATATAAAATAATAATTGGTATAGTGATGGAAGCAAGAAATGCATATTAACCTAAGTCATTGAAAAATTAAAACATCTATTTCATGTACATGTAGAAAGGAAAGAAACTATAATTTCATTTTATCCATGGTAATTAATTCTAAATAACTGTAGAGCTTGAATGGTCTAAATTATTATATAAATTGAATTCATCAGAGTTTAAAAATATATATTATTTCATACATTATATTATTATTTAACACTAGAACGGCGGGAACATCTTACCTAATAGAACAGCAGTAAGGGGTCATTTTGACCCTTCGATGCAAAAACTTAAATAACAACGGTAAAACAATTTTAATTGCCGTACATTGGCACAAATATGCACTTTATATGTATTTCATATAATTTATATTTAATATCACATGATAATTTTTTGACTTGTCAAAATACTGTAAATGTACCAAGTACATGGTGATCAATTGGATTATACTACAGTTACTCAAATAACTCATTAATTTGATGTAAGAATTTATTTCAAATAAATGGTTTCACAAATTTTAAAACTAATGTTAACTAAAATAAAACACAATTTGTATAATAATATTTTTTATGTACGTTACTCGTGGAGGATGATTCACTCTCTAAATCCAAAAATGAGAAATGTTCTCTGATGTTTCAGTTATATCATTATGTGTGTAGCTGAATGGAATATGTAAATCATTTCATTTCAATTCCATTTTTTCTGTTTCAATTCTATTCATGTTTAAAATATTAGAGATTACATACCATATGTATTAAAAATTAATGCAGTTGATACAAAATAAAATTTTTAACATTTTTCCAGTTGCATTTTCCGCACACAAATTTGGAACGAGTTGTACAATATTCTAGAGATTTGTTTCCATTGCATGTCTGTACTTGACACTTTTTCTCTTTATATCTGTTTTCTTTTTATGTGTTTCCCCTGAAGACTCAAGAAGGATCTTTGGGAGTTTTGAAGCCATATGTACCACTCTTAACTCCTCTCCTAATTTCAGTAGAAAATCTCTCCTGTTAATAGTGTTTCCTGTTACACTTTTATAAATTATCCAGGCGTATTAAGCTGCGTGATCCAAAATATTGAAAAAGACATGTACAGGCCGTCGTTTAGAAGCCGATTTAACTGAATATTTTCGACACATCTGATCACGAAAATTCACATCATACTTTGTTGCGCTGTAAAATGCTATTGGATCAGGCAACTTCTTGAGACTGTCTTCAGTTTTTACAGCAGAATGCTATGAGCTCAGTAGAAAAACACTTTTGTTTCTTTTGCCTTGATATGTGGTAAGTGTGATATTACCATGTTCCACTATTGTCGATGAATAAAGATTACTAGGCATATTTTTCAAAGATATAGGAATTTCTCTTCTGTTCTTTTTCATTGTGCTGACCATAGTTGTATTTTTTTATTTTAGCATTTCTGCTAATTTAATGCTAGTAAAATAGTTATCCGTGGTAATATTTCTCCCTTTGTGTAGATGTGGCTCCGTTAATTTTCAGACAACATTTTCAGACAAACATAATTGAGGATTTGCTGTTTCATCTTTTCCTAGATAAGGAAATCCATTCAAGAGGTATTTAGTATCAACGTCGACAGATTACTAAAATTTTATTCCAAATTTGTCAGGTTTATTAGGCATATATTGTGTAAATCTACACCTAGCTTTAGATGCGAATAATTGTTCATCAACTGTAATATTTTGTCCTGGCCAGTAGCACGTTTTGCAGTTTTTAATAAATTTGTTCCATATGTCTGATATAAGAGCAAATTTATCTGTCTGTAATCGAGTAGATCTTGTTGTCTTTTCATCGAACCTTAAAAATCGTTTTATTTCTTTGAATCTGTCTCTTGATATAGTTTTTTTGCAAAATGGTATTCCCCACGCTTCGGACCACAAGGAATATAAATCTAAGCAGTTGCTCCTATTACTCCTCCAACATACAATATAGCGACAAAAGCATCTAACTCAGCCAGGGATAACTTCCAGTCTTTATTTCCAAGTTGCCGATGAGCTTCGGATTCTGTACATTTCTTTATATGCAGCAAGATATCATCATCAATAAAAAGCTTGAAAGTACTAGACACTTTGTTCTCAGAAACACGACTCTTTGCAAAAGATGTTGGTCCTGCTGTTTCTTTTAGAACATTATAAGCAGGAACGCGGCCACAGACTGAATTTTTGGAATTTATTTCATTCCATATAGTGTTATCAGGAGCTGTAAAACGTTTTCCTAATACCCTGATCCGTGTTTGCCCATTTATTTCTGCTGAGTTCTTTGTTTACTTTGGTGTCCTTGGTTTCACTGATAGTTTGTGTTTAGAATTCATCTTCAGTTTCTACAGAAAAATTATCAATTTCACCTCCATCAGACTCATTTTCAGATAGCTCCTGCAACAATTTTTTAATTTCTTCATCCGTAAGACCTCTTTTCCGCTTATTAGACATATTTTGTAAAAGTTGAAAAAAGTGGAAAAATATTAGACTATCATAAATTGATAGGGAATATACTTTACCATATGATTCTCACAGCGTAAAGGAAAGGTGGTAATGAACTTTATGGCAGAATTCATATGTACCAAAATGCTGATTTGGGATTACCAAGAAAACATCTGTCCTAACTGTTATCACCTGAAGTAAGCTGAACTAAAAAACGGGAAAATACATCTATAAAATAAACTATTTCTGAAAAGAAATGTAAGCATGAAAAACCCTGCATCTACTTTCCTTGCAGTATTTTCTTCAAACGAATTGATAATTGCAAACAAAGGAACAGCAACTTATGTAGACATTACAAAGTAGTGAGACCACCCAGGTTTTTATCCCTCTGGGAGATAATATGAATGCAATCGAAAAATCCTTATCAGAGAATGTTTTTCATGGGTTATTTGACAATGCGTCGAGCAGAAAGAGGGATAAAAGTAAAGAGGTCAAAATGACCCCCGTCCGCCGTTCTGGGAATACATGCCAATATTTCAAAAACTAACAGACCTAGAATGTTGATTTTTTTTTTTTTTTTTTACAAATATTTGTTATCTATTTAGGAAAAGTCAAAAAATTCCAAACGATTTCTTCCAATAAAACAAAAGTAATCAATGGTCAAAAGTGTTCAAGGGTCAAAATGACCCCTATCACCATTCTAGTTTTAAAGTGTGGTTTAATTAAAATAAATAAAATCTAGATTAGTTTTACTTTTGCAACAATCTATTGTATTTCTTTTTCAATGCCATGCTTGCATTCTTTTTAGAACAATCTGATTATTGTGCTAAACTGTGGTTCACAAAGTTCATAAAAAATTTAACATGATTCAAAATGTGAAAAAAAATGACTGTGAACATACTGATGGTCTAACTACAATCTTAAAACTGCAAATATGTTCAGTCTAGTATCAGCTGCTCTCTTTTAACCAGTTTTATGATGTAATGCTTGTCTAAACATTTTAATAGCTTATCCTTTTCTCTCACTTCCATCCTTCCTTTCTTCTGACCATTTCTTTATATAGAAATAAATTGTCTTGACTTTTTCTCAGTTATCTCATCAAGCTTATCTTGATCATGTAAATTCTTGTAGCCTTCATTCTTCTTGTCATCTTACAGCTACTTCTTGTATTCTTCTCTTTCGAGTTAAAATCTTAAATAGTAGAAATGATTTCATTAAGGAATAATGTTATTTTTTTTTTCTTTTGCAAAATCTTATTTATTATCTTATATGCACATTATATGTCAGAGATGATTGCTTTTAAAGTTAAGTTTTAATTCAGAGTTGGGCATTAATCAGTTACAATGTAATAACAAGTGTATGTAATTCAGTTACTATGTAATTGCAATGACAATATAAATATAATTGCCATTAAATTAAATTAATTAGTGCTTACAGTTTATTACACTTTAAAAGGGGCAGCAATGTGAATGATTTCATTTTAAATTTCTAGCTAACTTTTACTTTCCCTCTTAAACGTTAAATGATTAGGAATGCTTTCTTAGAATTCGCAACAAAAATTTTAATTCAAAACTAGAGTTCGATGTCGGAAGTTTTTCTAGTAGTGTCTCTGGCATTTTGTGTTGACATTATGCTTAGCAGTTATACAGATTTTTGCTAACTCCGGTATGAAGTGTTGAATGTATTGACAAAAAGAAATTGGAACAGAACTTTCATTCCATATGCAAAAAAAAAAAAAAAAAAAAAAAAGATTTTATAAATGATATTCTTAGGTCAAAAGATTGCATTTAGTTTTCTATTTTGTAAATGATACTCCAAGGCCAAAAGAATACATTTAGTGCTGTTTGCATTGAGAATAACTGGTTCATTATTCAATTAAGCCCATAATCCACTGCACTGGGGGGGGCAAAATTTAGAGGAGGCAAAAGCTTTAGAATTTAGAAGAGCACTGAGGAACAAAATTAAGGGATAGCAAAATCTTTAGAATTTGGAGAAAGCACTGACATGTAAAATTTAAGGTTGGTAAAATTTTTAGAGTTTAGGTAGGTGTTAGGAAGCAGAATTTGGGACCCACAGAGACTGCACCAGGCCACAAAATGTCTAGCACCAGCCCTGGAGAAGCATTAAGTATATGTAGGAATTTATTTATTTGGTACTCGGATAAACCTTAAGGATGTGCAGGAAGCAATTATAAGTATAATAAATAACTAATATAATTGAGGCTTAATTTTGTCAGTGTGCGATGTAAAACAAGCATAAAAATGCAGGTAAAATGTAATGGAACAACATGTCTTTAGTCATCAATTCTTATGAAACATCACTAACAGCATATAGCAAGTGCAAGCTCAGCATTATGATGATAGCAAATAACTGCGAATTTGAAGGTTTTTCAGTTATCACAAACAAAATGCAAAATTTTCCAATTAATGGAATTTGCGAA